TCACCGCACACACTGAAAAAGATCCTGAATTCAATATAGTAACTGAATTAAGAGAGCAAAATGAAGCTACGCGATTCTTCCATTCACCCCTTCTTCCGCCCTTCCATCACTGAGTCAATCATCACGGAGTGACTGGCAAATTTTATTTATATTAGACAAAGGTCAGTTCATAATGCTGGCAATTTCACGCTGTTTCACTTTGTGCCGGTAAAGCGAGACAAATTGCGCGCTCTCTTCCATAGAAACACTCGGCATTTTCAGTTAAAATAAAGCTTTTCGGGTCGTTCTTTGAAAGAAGGGTGTAGGTGAAGCAGCGCTGGCGAACTAGATACGACAATCGTTTAAAAAATCAACCGCAAACAGATTGTATTTTTCTTTTTGTTTCTTCGTGCCAAGACACCGACTGCCCTCGACGCTGCTATAAAAGCAAGGAATTGCGAGTGATACAATCAAAAGTTCTCGGCATGCCCATGATTCTCACCATTTTCACCATACGAAAACTAGAGCAAAAACAGAGATAACGCACTCTACGTGAATCACGAAGTGCTGCCAAACCAGATGTGCACGCCTGTCAACGATGATTGCTGTACGGCGAACACTATACTGTTTCTAAAGCTTGAAACACGCGCTCCGCTGTTCGGGTTTCATTTGATGCCGATAGTACGTCAGCGAGAAAGAAATATATGATACTCAGCGTGCGTCTTAACCTGAACTTTCGCTGATTGAAGGAAAAAGCAAAAGGGGGGAGGAAGGGATGTTGACCAGTCTAAAAGAGTTTGTTTGCTACACTACGCAGAAGCAAAGGGTGGGGGAGTTTAGAGATGAAAAAAGCGAAAAAATTGGGACATATCTGCTGACCCACTGTAGTTGATGCACATCTAAGACATGTCTGCATAACATTTAGATTCTCAGGAGAAGCCGCGACAACATGACTCGTGCATAGCTGACTGGATCCCATTGAAAAGTAACGCGTGCCTTCGGTATCATCGGTACATCGCCCTTTCTCTCGCAGGTACAGGGCAAGTTCTCAGATCATAGATTTTTATTAGAATTGTACGTGCTTGATGTGCGCCTGGCTTATTGCGCATGTCTGTGCCTATATATTTACTCACAGTATATGATGAACAAAGCCCCACCGCAGTGGTAAAGTGGCTAAGCTACTCAGCTGCTGAACCAGAGGTCACGGAATCAAATCCCGGCTGCCCCACCACGGTGGTCTAGTGGCTATAAGGTACTCGGCTGCTGACCCGGAGGTTGCGGGATCAAAGCACGGCTGCGGTGGCTGTATTTACGATGGAGGTGGAAATGTTGTAGGCCCGTTTACTCAGATTTGGGTGCACGTTAAAAACCCCAGGTAGTCGAAATTTCGGGAGCCCTCAACTATGGCGTCTCTCATAATCATATGCTGGTTTTGGGACGTTAAACCCCACAAATCAATCAAATTCCGGCTGCGGCAGCTGCATTTTCGATGGAGGCGGAAATACTGTAGACCCAAGTGCTCAGATTTGGGGGCACGTTAAAGAACCCCATGTGGCTGAAAGCCCTCCACTAAGGCGTCTCTCATAATCATATGGTGGTTTGGCAACGTTAAACCCCAAATATCGATCAAATAATATGATGAATAAACACTCAAAACTTTGTGCTCATCTTCATTCTTTTCCGCAATGTTTTTGCATATATAAACAGCCATATATTGATGAAGATACTTATCCATTTATTATACAGTTTTATAGAAGTGTAGAAATGTAAAGATGTGCGGGGACGTGGTCTGAAATATTGAATAGTAATAGAAGGGCAAGACTGATCTAGCCATTAGTAACTTAATAATAATAATAATAATAATAATGGTTTATTTCCACCAATACACAGTTGATGGAGGGGGTGAGAATAAAAGCGATTATCCGCTTGACTAAGTTCTCACCCCCCTATGTACATAAGGCAGTGGCGGTGGCGGCAACAGAACACCACAGCTGACAAAAATACACAACATTAACAAAATTAGAATTGATAAAGCCTTCAAGAAAAAAAAAAAAAAAAAAACCCACACAGACACAGTGCAATAAACATATATAGTAATATAAATCAAAAGTCGCAATATGTAAAGCACGAATACATTAAACATATTATTTACATGCAGCGGTGACTGCATTTTCATCCTTTGTGTTTTTGTTTATTGTTTTCCCTAGTTGTTATCTACGAACTTTGAAGATAAGGTCTTAATTGTCAGGAGTGTTAATAAGATATTGGCGAAGTTGAGAAAGGGTGATATCTGCTATGTTAACACCTGATGAATATAACCTGTTTAATTGTAACGGTAGCTGATAAGTAATTTTTTGTTGTCCATAGTTAGTTCTTATACGAGGAAGCATCCAAGGTGGTTGATGACGGTGAGGGTACTTTGATTGATAACGTATCATGGAAGCGATATCTGTGATAGTAAATGAACGTTTTTTTTGTTCGATCTTATAGCGGCGTAAAAGCCTGTAAATGTATAGGTGATAAACATTGATGATTTCATGTTCACTAAACAAGTGATCTGTTGTATGTCTGTGAGGAAGGTTGTAAATTAGACGGAGGATTTTATTATGGAGTGATGAAATTTTTCTTAAATTAGTTTTAGTCGTTGTCGCCCACACTAACGTGCAGTAGTTCAAGTGTGAAAGGAATAAAGCGTGGTATATAGCAAGCTTTGCCTTTAAAGGTAAAACAGATTTATGTCGCCAAAGTATACCAACCGCTCTCGATGCTTTTAATAAAATGTTGTGGACATGATCATTCCATTGCAAATGTAGTGTGAAATAAACTCCTAGTGATTTTATTGACCTGACAATTTCAACTGGCTGGGATTTATACAGCAAATGTACTAAAGTATCAGATTTTTATTAATAGAATTAAAAATTATAGCTTTAGTTTTATTTACATTAACTGACAGTGCATTTTCCTTTGTCCAAACTTCTAGCTTACCTAATACATTGTTACCACGGGAAGATAGCTCATTGTGTGTATCAGCTGACAAAAGGATTGTAGTGTCATCCGCATAAATAATAAACCTGGATTGATCATCAATGTTCACAATATCATTAATATAAATGTTAAAGAGAAGAGGCCCAAGTATACTGCCCTGTGGCACACCGGCTGTAATATCACGCGTTTTGGACTGAAAATTGCTGATTTGAACGTACTGCTTCCGATGAGATAAATAGGATTTTATTAAATCTAAAGCGTGCCCTCTAATACCACATAAATCCAATTTCCTAAATAAGATACTGTGTACTATGCAGTCAAATGCTTTGGTAAAATCTACAAAAATGCCTAACACGAACTTATTTTTTTCTAATTTATCAAGAATATATTCTTTTTGATGAATCAAAGCAATTTCCGTAGAACGGTTTTTTCTAAATCCATACTGAGAATCATTGATATATTGTTAGATTGTAAAAACTTGTCCATGCGTTTCAGTATGATTTTTTCCAGACATTTAGAAAAAACAGGAAGGATACTAATTGGCCTATAATTGCTAAAGTCATTTTTGTCTCCCTTTTTGTAAAGCACAATTACTTTTGCTATTTGCATAGCCGAAGGAAATGTAGCGGTTTGCAGACACAAATTAAAGATATGTGTAAGCGGCACACAGATTAATTCAATGACATATTTTACTGGACGAATTTGTATGTTGTTTAAATCACATGACGTACTGTTTGAAAGCTCAAGAAACGTTTGCGTTACTTCACTCTCACCTACTGGTTCAAGAAAAAGAGTAGATGAACATCTGGCAGTAGGGGTGTCTTGTGAGTTATGTGGTGTAGAATGATCCCTTGCGAAGTACAAACTAAATGCCTCAGCTAATTTTTCCCCTGTGTAATCTTCTCCTTTATGAGTGATCTTGTCGAAATGCGTATCCTCAATGAAATTAGCGTCCAAAGAACGGATTTGTTTCCATAGTTTATCAGGATGCCGAAATGAATTTTCGAATTGTTTTTCATAATATCGCTTTTTGGCATTTCGGATGTCACTGGTCAACTTGTTTCTGTAGCTTTTAAACTCTTGAAACAGCTGTGTGCTTTTGGAGGCAATGTATGTGTTATAGAGTTATTCTTCTGTTTAATGCGTGTATGAAGTTCATTACATATCCAAGGTTTTCTTATCTTTTTCATAGAACGTTTCTTTTTTAGCGGAAAGTGCCTATTATAAACACCGCAGAATTTACTAAGAAACTTTTCATAAGCTGCCTCTGCATTAGTTTCATTGAACACATCACTCCATGACATAAGTGACATTTCACTGTGAAATTTTCAAGAGCATTAGGTGTGACGTAACTGAACCATTGGGGTACATGTGTGTTTAGATCTAGGCTGCTTTTTCTGAAAAAACAAATAAATGCCCATGTGGTCACTTAAATCGCAACAGATTACCCCTGAATGTATAACAGAATTGTTAATATTAGTAATAACAGGTCAATCAGTGTTTCTGAGTTAGTAGTTATACGAGTAGGAAGCTTAGTAACAATACTGAAGCCAAAACTTCTTAACAGCACATCAAAATCAATTGCATGGGCAGAATTAGACATCATGTCTATATTAAAATCACCGCCCATAATGACATCATAGTGATGCGCAGAAGTAAAAGAAATATATGATTCAATGTACTCAAAAAATACGTCAACATCTCCACTGGGTGGTCGGTAGAACACTGAATAAACGGTATTATTTGCCAATACAGAAACAACCTCAACAGCAGATGACATGCAACAAAGTTCCGAGATCAATTCACATTCGATTTTCTTATTAACGAAAATGCAAACACCTCCACCACGACCCACATTACGATTGACGGCAAATGTGGAAAATGATGGCAAACAAAAGCTACTGCTCAGCCATGACTCAGATACCATGACGAAATCAAAAGACAGGTTAAAACTGTCTAACAAAATTTGCAGTTCATCAGCCTTATTGTTCAGTGATCGTACATTCAAATGAAAACATTCACTGATGAGCCCAACCAATCGGTAGGCATGACGCTGCGAATGTTGCAAGGCAACACGAATCTATTGTTAGCCATTTTGACGTGATGTTCACATATTATGTGCTGACGTGCTAACCACAGTAATTAGCCAGCTGACTCGCGTCCCTGACAACATGGGACGGTTCGCCATCTTTCCTGCGGATGAAGATTTTCCCGTTTGCATACCACACGTAACGGAAGCCATTATCGCGAGCCCATTGCTTCACAGTCCACAATAGTGTTCTTGCCCTGCGCGTTAGGTTTTCCGAAAAGTATATGTTTGCATCCTTTTCCTTTAGTAATCGCCTTTTCTGCAGCCACATATCCCTCAGCTTTTGGCTTTGAAAACGTATGATAATGGCGGGGGTCTTATTTGCCTTCGCCGGAAGGCGATGATAAGCTTCAAGGTCGTGATCGCTGACCTCAGGAACTTGGATCATCCTGGCTATCTCGTTTATCTTTTGGAGTAGATTCTCGTGCTCGTTGAAAAGTTTCCCATGAATTTCCAAGTTTCGGCTCCTGCTACGCATTTCCAGGTCATTCAAGTCAGAGTTTATCTGGTGTAGTTCCTCGTCAGGCCTTGCTCGTTCCAACTGTTCAGTTCTCTTACGGAGCTGCTCAATTTGTTTATCTTGGCTGTCCAATCGCTTCAGAATGGTATCGAAATGATCAGACATTGTTTGCACTGCCTGTTCAATGCTGTTCATCTTTTCATTTAGTGGCATTAGAAAATCAAGTTTTTGACTTAACTCCGCAAAAGCAACAGCAAAGTTAAAATCCTGACGAGCCGCAGCAGCGGCACCTGCACCGACGCATGGCGCACCAGTTTTACACGTGGAACACACATAGTTTTTGCGAGAATTGGTGCCACTTCTCGTCTTATCAAGCGGCTCAGTCAGTCCAGAGCACTGTTCGATGTGATAAGAATTACCACACTTTTTGCATTTCACTTTAGCATCAGTAGTTTCTAGGGTAAGCATGCAAGCAAGGCATATGTCCTCCCCAGAAACACTCATCTCTCATACACCTCGAAAAGCATAACTACGACGACAAGTTTGGCAGTAGCAGCAACCAGCAGAAAAATAGGAAAAGGAAAACACTGTGTGAATGTGTGAAGACAAACCTGTGAAAAATGCAGATGAACACGTCAGAACGGGCGTCTATCGCCGGTCACCGCTACTGCCAAACTGCCGATAACAGGTGGGGGCAGGGTCGTCTCAGATCATGACGCAATCCCAATGTTTGCGATGCCAGATTCCGTCGGCCGCCGAGTCCTGGACATCCAAAGAAGAATAATGTAGCAGTTGCCGGCGTTGCAAGGTACCACGCTCGTCAGTGCGGCAGAACCAGCTATCCAGAGAATAGGACCACCGGTATCAGCGGCAGGACAGGGACGAACCTGTGAAAAATGCAGATGAACACGTCAGAACGGGCGTCTATCGCCGGTCACCGCTACTGCCAAACTGCCGATAACAGGTGGGGGCAGGGGCGTCTCAGATCATGACGCAATCCCAATGTTTGCGATGCCAGATTCCGTCGGCCGCCGAGTCCTGTGAAAAATGCAGATGAACACGTCAGAACGGGCGTCTATCGCCGGTCACCGCTACTGCCAAACTCACACAAAGAATTAAAATTGCTGAACTGCTGTCACTGCTTAGAGCCCTAAGTGTGGGAGGTCGATAAGTGCTGCCCCGAAGAAATTTGTGCGCACTCACTTTTTTCCGACTGTGCTAGTTCCTGTTCACTTACTGGCGTTATTGTTGTTTATTTATTTATTTATTTATTTATTCATTTTAATACACAGAAGACCCGGGAAGGCATTGCATAGGGGGTGATTAGGAAGATTTTCAATGTGTACAATACACAAAATGTTCAGAGGCATCAATTTATAAGGCTTAATTAAATGAAAGAAAAACTACACACAACGACAGTGATAACGAAAAAGCATATATATTAACTCTGCAGAGGAAAAGGTGTGTTAAAAATATGCAATAGGCTCCCTAAGCGCAAATAACACACACAAAAATATTCAAGTAATTCTCATGAGCAACACCACCGCTTAACTACATTATTCGATTGGAAGTTCTAATAACACTTTTAACGCTTTCAGAAAGGATAAAGATGCTGTTCGAGTGGCTCTATCAGCTGGCAAGGAATTCCAGTTAGTTATCGACAGGGCTAAGGGCAAGTTTTGGTATTTTCTGTTCTCGAGAAGATGGCAATAACTTTGTTAGGGTGATCAACACGGGCTGAAATGTGGGATAGCAAGAGGATATGCTTGTGCACAAACTGGGAGTTGCTGTGGAAGAGTGAGTGGAAATTGGATAGCCTTGCAAGTTTACGGTGTGCGAAAAGGGAGGGCAGATTAAGCGATTTCAGTAAGGAACTTACACTTTCATGCCGTGAGTACGACGATGTTATGAAGTGCGCAGCTTTGTTTTGAATCGATTCAACCAGGTCAGTTAAATTTTCAGCGTGAGGATGCCATATGATTAAAGCATATTCCAGCAATGATCTTATCAGGGAAATGTATGAATAGAGTCACCCCACTTCTCTTTCTTTTTGTCTGTAGTTGCATGCCAAACAAATCTATCAATGCTCCTGCAAGTGTAGAAAGAGCTGAACATAAGAATTGTTCTATACATCTTCAGATTTCGATGAAAACAGGATGTCTGCATATCAGCAGTGCGTGGCAATAAATTTTAAGACCTGTCAGTGAATTTTTTGTCTACCATTGAACTCTACTTTGTAGCTTTGTGTAGAGTATTCTCGAAACTGACTCGTAAAATCTTCCAAGTCATGGCATAATTGATGCTACCGTCGTTATTGAGCACAATTTAGTGCCAGTTTGAAATGCCGGCCTCAATACCACTAGAAGGTCGTTACGCAGTTGCCACTGTTCGATGCCTGGTTGATAATTTATCGTTCTAGCATGCTGTATTATATAAGTATGTTACCCTCGTTGCTTCTGGACATGAATCCTGTATAGCGCCTTTTATCGAAGTGGTTTCAAGCACCCCTATAGCCCTGTGCTAGGATAGTGAGCTGCCACGAACAGGGCAAAGATTCATAACCCGTTCTGTCGTTGATGTTTTATTATACCGTGTTTTGTTTCATTTCACGCGTTGATGGTCTAGGACACCGGTAGCGGCAATGGCAGGCAACTGCTGCTCCGAAAACTGCCACTGTGGTTTTATAACCGATTTGGTTGTGTCTGAAATAGATTGTTCAGAAAGAGCCATTAGAACCCACGGATGAGAGTGGAAGGCGAGTGTGCCGACCGCTCGGCTATCCAGGCACGCTAAAAAAGCACAGTACAGTCTTGTTCAACAGGGGTCGGGTGATGGAAGCAAGCGTTAGGGGAAGACATGTGAAGGGGAAGGAGGAGGGGGGAGTAGTAAAGTATAGCTTTCTAAAATGAGAGAAAAATGGAGAGAAATAAGTACATGAGAGATGGAAATAACATGAACGAAGGAAATAGAAACACGAAATATAGAAAGACGAAGCAAGCAACGCGTCATATAGGAAATGGATACCGCATTACCCGGCCAAGCCGCGCAAGCGCATAAGAGTGGCTCGACACCGCTGGAAGGATGTCATGCTTACGGCCTTTGCTGTTTCAGGTCACTGTTACCTGGGCAACATGCTGTGGGCTACTGGGCGCCTCCTGGCCTGCTTCGGTTGTTGCGCCTAGCTCCAGTCCAACTTCACCGTGTTCGACGCCCATTCCTCGCGAAGTGAAGGATTTCACCTGCTCGCGAAAGGGAAACGCCTCTTGGCTGACTGACCTCAGCTGTCCTGCGCACAGGGGAGTTTCTGGCTCGTCTTGGCTGGTATCCAATTCCTGGCTTCTGGAATGGCGACCGGTCACGCTCGGTTTTCCAAACATGGATGGAAACGACCTTCTCGCCTGGCAACATGGCTCTTCTGTTACGATGGCTGGACAGCGCAGTGCTCTATTTAAGCGTCAGTCTGCAACTTGCTGGTTTGGGCTCGATACCGCTGGAAGGATGTCATGCTTACGGCCTTTGCTGTTTCAGGTTGGTTACTTAAATAATGCTTCTTGCATAAGAAGTAGCAACCGTTGCTTCCTTTCGGTGTCGTGCCCACCTGAGCTTAGGGGTGTTTGAAGCGTTTATTATCTTGCATGTACGTATGTGGTGCCATTCGTGAACTTTTATTAATCCTGGCCGGTGATGTGGAATCAAATCCCGGTCCTATGAATTAGACGGAGGCCGACGCATTCGCTCTAGTCCTTACTGAAATACGCGATCTGAAGGAAAGTTACGAAGCTTTGCTCGCAAAACATGCTACCGCCGAGATTGAAATTAAACAGCTAAAGCTCAAAGTAGAAACGCTTGAAAAAGCCAACGCTGTTCGAATTGCTGATGGGGCTGGTGCGGATGCTGACGCCCTTCGTGCCATGTCGGACAAAATGAAAGCAGCAGACAGCGAAATTAAAAGTTTGAGTACCAAGGTGAATTCACTAGAAGAAATCACCGGTACACGGTCTGTGACCACCCCTTCTGGCTCTGTTGACGCTTTGCGCGATGTGACGAACCAACTGTCAAAAATCACGAATAGGTGCGACGATGCAGAAAATAGGTTACGTCGGTCTAACCTTCTATTTTTCGGCATTGAAGATGACTCCAATGAGAACTGGGCAGTCTCAGAAGCTAAGATGGTGAAATTTTGTTCAGATCACCTAGGCACTTCCATATCTAGTCCACAATTAGAGCGCGTGCACAGGCTGGGCAGATTTAACACAGATATACGAAGGCCAATTATTGTCAAGTTTACATTTTTTAAGGGGAAAGATCAAATTTTGTCAAATTCGCGTAAGCTAAAGGGAACTAATTTTTACATACGCGAAGATTTTTCCATGAAAACGCGACAAGCTCGCCAAAAACTCCTGGAATACGCAAAGGCTCTAAACAAACGCTTTAAACTATCCGTTGATAAACTTCGCATTGACCGTAACACCTACGTTTTCGATCACTCTAGCAACGTAGTTGTGCTCTCTACGAGATAGCTAGAGGTTAACACGAGCACGCGTAAGTAGAGTCAGTTTAAGTCACCATCTTTGTCTGTGTCTTTTACTAACAATCGAAGCCTACTTCCCAAGAATGATGAGTTGAGTTCTTACTTAGATGATAGTGATGCCGACATATTAATACTCACGGAGACTTGGCTCTATCCTGACGTACCCAACGAGGAACTGTTCCCAGATAAACACAACTGTAATATATATCGACGTGACCGTGTCGATAGAATAGGAGGAGGCGTCCTAATAGCAGTAAAAAAGACAGTGTCATCAGTTCCCCTTGATACTAACCCCTCTACAGAGATAACTTGGACAGCATGCGTTACAACTTATGCAAAAATACTTATAGGAGCGTGTTATCGTCCACCGGATGCCCATTCCTCTTTCCCCAAAGATCTGCGTGACAACATAGAACGAGTTACGCAACTCTGATATGTGGGGTTTAACGTCCCAAAACCACTATATGATTATGAGAGACGCCGTAGTGGAGGGCTCCGGAAATTTAGACCGCCTGGGGTTCTTTAACGTGCACCCAAATCTCAGTACACGAGCCTACAACATTTCCGTCTCCATCGAAAATGCAGCCGCCGCAGCCGGGATTCGAACCCGCGCCCTGCGGGTCAGCAGCCGAGTACCTTAGCCACTAGACCACCGCGGCGGGGCGAGCTACGCAACTCTATTCAGCTGACATTATATACCTTTTTGGCGATTTCAACTACCCGCTCATTGATTGGTCTACCATGACTACCAAATGTCACGCCTCATCAAATTTTCTCGAAGTAGCCCTCGATTACAACTTATCACAAGCTGTTTACCGATGCACCCGTGGTACTAACATACTTGCCTTGACCTTGTTTTCACTAATGCATTAGAAACCACTGGAGCGATTTCTTATATAGAAGGATTTAGCGACCATACGCTCCTTAAGTTCCAAATCAACCTACCTGTAACTTTCACAGGCTCAGTGAGAAAAACAATCCGGGATTATAACCGTGCTAATTTTCATCAATTCAGGACGGAGCTAGAAGATTTTTATCAGGAACTTTTTTTGCCGTCAATTGCCTCTCGAACCGTGAACGAAAACTGGCTTCTTTTTAAAGAAAAATTATTAGAGTTAGTTAACCAGCTTGTGCCGCTGATCTCTGCTTCCAACGATAAAACTAACCCTTGGTTTACTAAGCATCTTCGAACATTACAAAATAAAAAGAAACGTTTCTATGATACCGCAAAACGCATTGGCTCTGTGTCCTACTGGGATAAATACAAGGTCTGCTTACAAGACTATTGTAAAGCCTTAGACACAGCTAAGAAGAAATATTATTCGCAGGGCTTGCCGTCACTTCTCAAAAATAACCCCAAAAAGTTCTGGCAAATAATTTCACCCTACAACAAGTCTCCTAATCACATTACAATACGCGATAGTGAACTAACGCCGCTTTCTGATGAAGCTTCCGCTATTGCTTTCAATGAGTACTTCGCGTCTGTTTTTACACAGGAAGATTGTTCCAATATGCCATTTGTTCCAGCTCCCCCTTTCGCTTTAATGGCCCCAATCATTGT